GCTGCAGCTGCTGGCAGTTCCAGATAGCTCCGCCCTTGCGCCATAGCTTGTGACCGGAAGAGTAGAGGAGTTGTTTTAAGGGGGAGGGGAGTTTAGCGTTTTTGATTAAAGATTACGAGGGCACATGAATTTAAAAAAAATAATGAAGTGCACGGTTAAATTATTTATAATAAACACTACAGTACAGGTGCGTCTCAATAAATTAGAATGTTGTGGAAAAGTTCATTTCAGTAATTCAACTCAAATTGTGAAACTCGTGTATTAAATAAATTCAATGCACACAGACTGAACAATTTGAGTTGAATTACTGAAATAAATGAACTTTTCCATGACATTCTAATTAATTGAGATGCACCTGTATTCCATTAAAAAATAAGAATTTTCCATTTTGATTTCATGGTGACTTTAAAGCTTTTCAAAATATTTTCCAAAAAAATAAAAAGACATCAACAAATCTATCTAGTTTTTATCTATTTCAAATTCAGTTGAATTGTCTAAAACAATGAAAGCTAAATATAGCTCAAATTATCAGACCAAAAACCTGTAACTTGGAAGCATAACTTTGAGCCTAGTTATTAAGAATTATAAAAGGTTTTGGACATATTTTTATCCTCTAGGTGGTAATTCTGTCAGGACCACTATCGTCAAAGATGATTGACAATTAGCATACAGTTTGGATTTTAGAATTAGTCCTGAGAGTCAGCTGATGCGAGCTTGACTAACGTGACCTGCCAGAACTAACGCTACGCTTGATTGTCACCAGACTAATGTTGCCCATTTTGCAATAAGAAGTTTCAGCATCAGGAAGCACGACTACAGACCACCCACAGTACCTTTACTAAGTGTCTGATGCATATTGCACCTTTGGTTCTGTAAAAGTTGCCGGAACGGGCAATGGCGGGCTCCGCCGCCTCGGGGGCACTGGGAGCGGACACCGCCGCCTCGGGGGCACTGGGAGTGGACACCGCCGCTTCGGGAACCTCGTGAGCGGGCACCGCCGCTTCGGGAACATCGTGAGCGGGCACCGCCGCTTCGGGAACATCGTGAGCGGGCACCGAAACTGAGAGCGGCCACCGCCGCTTCCGGAGCTTTGTGAGCGGACACCACCGCTTCGGGAACATCGTGAGTGAGCACCGCCGTCTCGGGGAAACTGAGAGCGGACACCGCCTGTAGCTCAGGGGCTAAGGACTGTAAGGTGCTAGCCATTTCTAAGTAGGTGGAGTTGATCCGTGTGTGCCGGTTAGAACACCAAAGCCGGAGAAGGAATCGAGTTTATTCCGCTAAAATAAAAGTCCCCGCGATAGAGAAAAGAGCGCCTCTGTGCATCTGCATTAATGAGCCTTTTGCACACCGCCGCTTCCGGAGCCTTGAGAGCGGACACCGCCGCTTCCGGAGCCTTGTGAGAGGACACCGCCGCTTCCGGAGCTTTGTGAGCGGACACCGCCGCTTCGGGAACATCGTGAGTGAGCACCGCCGTCTCGGGGAAACTGAGAGCGGACACCGCCGCTTCTGGAGCCTTGTGAGCGGACACTGCCGCTTCCGGAGACTTGTGAGCGGGCACCGCTGCTTCCGGAGCTTTGTGAGCGGACACCGCCGCCTCGGGAACATCGTGAGCGGGTACCGCTCGGAGTTTTGTGAGCGGACACCGCCGCTTCCAGAGCCTTGTGAGCAGACACCGCTGCTTCTGGAACCTTGTGAGCGGACACCGCCGCTTCCGGAGCCTTGTGAGTGGGCACTGCCGCCTCGGGGAAACTGAGAGCGGCCACCGCCGCTTCCGGAGCTTGGGGAGCGGGCACCGCCGCCTCGGGGAAACTGCGAGCGGGCACCGCCGCCTCGGGGAACTGCGAGCGGACACCTCGGGAACTCTGCGAGCAGACCACGCCGCTCGCACCGACATCAGTAGAGGTTCCTGCATGCTGCGTACCAGCCCGCGATGCTTCAGGAACGGGCGGGAGGTACTGGGTGCAGCAGACGAGGTCTCTGACGACCCTGGGATGGCCGCCACGGGAGAACTGTGAGCAGGCTCTGCAGCCAGCTCCATCCTGATGGCTGAGCCGCTCAACTGCAGAGCCAGGTTGACGTAGACCTCCAGTGCCTCCTCGGGGTGCCAGACTGGCATAAGGGCTCTGAACGGCTCGGCTAGGCCACCCCAGAAACAGACCAGTGCGCAGATCCTCTCCGTCGCCGACTGGCGATCCGCTCCCAAGAAGTCCCTGGCGTACTCCTCAATGCCCCGGTCTCCCTGGTGGACATTGAGGAACCTTCCTGCTGGACCCATGTTTGGCGGATTATTCTGTCACGGCGCGGTTAGGAAAACACACCGTGTAGGC